AATTCTTTAAAAACTTTCAAAATAGTCTCCTTCTGCGTCGATGCAGCGCTTTCCAAGCATTTAAGGCGTTACGGTAGGCATTCTCCGGAATAGCCTTGAGAGCCGCGGTGCATGCTGCTTGGATCCCCTCTGTCGTCTCAACATGCTTGCCTTTCATCGGCCTTTTCAGGCGAGGAAACAAAAAAAAGTCTGGGGGGCCACATCTGGGCTGTAGGGCGGCTGCGGAAGCGTTGGGATGCCGGCCTTGGTCAGGTAGCTGTTCACAAGACAGGCGGTGTGAGCCGGGGCATTGTTGTGGTGCAACTTCCAGTCGGCTGCGATGTCTTGTCGGACCCGACTGACCCTTCGTTTGAGTCTCCTGAGCGCTTCCACGTAAAACTTGCGTTGACGGTTTGTCCAGGAGGAACAAATTCATGGTGGACGATGCCTTTGATGTCAAAAAAGACAATGAGCATCGTTTTCACTTTGGATTTGCTCATTCTTCCCTTTTTTGGGAGAGGAGACGCCGTCGTGTGCCACTCGGAAGTTTGTCTCTTTGTCTCGGGATCATACTCAAAGATCCACGACTCGTCACCTGTGATTACGTTATTCAAAAATTGGGGGTCACTTTCACAAATGTTCAAATTTTCTTGGCACACTTCCACTCACCGCAATTTCTGGTCGTCAGTGATCACTTTTGGGACCATATTCGAGAAAATGAGTCCTATTACTTTCCGGACAAACCCTGTAGACTACGTCTGGACAGGTTGTTTTTCGTTCCTATCGGATTTTCCAATAGGGACTTGACAACTTTGAACTTTCAATGTGAACGCACCTGTAAAGCAATTACCGAACTGTCGTTGTCAAAATATTGACTGAAGAAAACATTTTCATCATGGTGAAGTATTTTTGGTCGTAATTCTCGTCCCAGTAGACAAGCAATTCATAGTCTAGTAAAAAACATTGAGTCTACATATTCGCTCTTGAATGTACATTTCTACGGATTATGTACAACACCCTGTACGTGATATACAGACAAAACTAGATTGCTATGCATGAACAGTCGTCAAACACAGTGAAAATATCCTACCAAATATTTATAATACCCAGAAAATCGACCTGCTATTTCTCCCATTTTCATTGGTCCATTTAAATAACTGACCGTCTTTTCTGAAATGATAAACATTTTATATTCAATGAAAGTTATTCTAACTCTAAAGCACAAAGACATAATATTACATGTATAATGTACCCTTATTTATAAGGCAACCGTTTTTCCAAGACTTTATTCAATATTTCAATAGAAATCACTGATATTCAGAGAGCTTTGACAGCTTCCGTCAAATATTAATGTTGTTGAGATTGGCCCTGATAGTGCCAATTTTTGGTCGTAATTGTCGTCCCAGCAGATACGTAATTCATAGTCTAGTAAAAAAATTTGCGTCCACATATTCGCTGCTGGATGTTCCGTGCCAGTGAGAGAACGGGTTGGTCGAAGTGCCGAGAATATTGCTGCCGTTCAAGCTTCAGTCGCAAACGAACAGAACACGTCTAGTCCACGGCGTTCTCAAGAATTGGGCATCGCTCAGACCACACTATGGCGAATTTTGCGAAGAGATCTTGGCCTGCACTCATATAAGATCAAGTTAACTCGAGAAATACAACCGTTCGATCATACGAACCGACGTACGCTCTCGAAGTGGGCTCTAGAAATGTTGCAAGAAAATGATCAACTTCATCGCAAAATCATGTCCACTATACTATAACTATCTAAAACTGTAATGACTCATCGATGTTCACGTGAACATCACTTAACTACCAGTAGTCGGCTGTTCATAGGCGGGGTATGAATGTTTAACATGGGTGAACTAGATTTGTCACATGCTTAATAAAGAGTGGTTTGAAACATATTGTAAGTCAAAAATTTGGGAATTACCTTTATTCATCGTCGCTTCCACTTACATCTGACAGTAATAAACTGTCGCTATCGCTTTCCTCGTTGAAATTGACTATAACTGGCTCTATGATGGTGTCGATGTGGTGGTCAAGCTGCCACATTTTTGTTTCTTCCTTCACAACATGACGGATAGCATTCTGCCAAGCTTCCGGCGTTACTAGCAGTATGGAAGTCTCAAGTAAAACCTTAACGTCTGGTAATTTGAAGGTTGTGTTATGGCGCGCAATATAACCCTTCACTTGAGCCCAGATGAGCTCTATTGGGTTCAGTTCACAGTGGTAGGGCGGTAACCGTAGCACAGTGACACCACATTGACGGGCCATCTCATCAGTCACGTAACTAATGTTCGCAGGTTTGTGCTGTTTAATTTTTTCATACAATTCCGCTTTCACACATGAATCGTCAAACGGGATTCCTTTTTCGCGCAACCGTTGCTGCATGTCACTTTTTCGAGATCCCATAGTCGGTACACGTTCGGCTCGACGACTATGGTAGGAAGCATTATCCATGACGATCACAGAGTTGGGCTCAACTCGCTGAAGCACCCTTGAAACCAGCTCTCGAAGCAGCTGGCATTCATTTCGTCATGGTAATCACCTCCTTTCTTAGAGACAAAAATCAAGCCAGACTCTTCTAAAAAGCCACTATCGCTACCAATATGAGTTACGATCAATCTTTGACCTTTCCCTGACGGTCCACGAAGACCTGTTGACAAACCTTCAATGCTTGCTTGTCGGTTACTCACTACGTTTTTGTCTATCCAGGTTTTTTTAACTGTGTGACCTGCATTTACCCATGTCTCGTCCAAATAATATGTTTTTCTGCTTTGTCGCCTATATTCAATCATTTCGCGTAGGTATTTTCGACGCTAGGCGACTATTTCAGGTCTCTCTATCAATACTGACTTCCGATTACGCGTTTCGTAACGAAATTTGATTTCCTGCAGGGATTTCCTCATTACCTCGACGCTCATTTGGGGTATAATTCCATTTTCCTTGATCGCTGCATGTACAGTCTTGAGGGTTGGTATCTCATTCCTAAAGAAGAATGAATGTACGGTTCGCCTTAACGCCATTTTGCTATCGTCATCCAATTTAACGGCCTTTCGTCCCTTCAAATTAAACTTTGGATCAGTAGTAGCTCCAGTTTTCTTCTTTTCATGCACCACCCTGCGAATGGTCCACTCTGGAACGCCTGTCATACTTTCACAACGCGCGAGTGCATCTCCCTGCGAAATAGTTCTGTTCATATAATTGAACACGTTGAGCACGATTTCTTTCGCGTCCCTCTTCAGTGCTTTACGAAGCCGTCTACTTGTTCCCTGGCTTTCAGTACTTCCACTCGTGCCATTTGTACTCTCCATGGTTAAGTATAACCAAAACAGTAACCACAGAAATCACAACAATAACAACCACACAACAAACCTTATAAAAACACACAATATGCGATCGCTCAACGAAACACGTTCCAATGCGTTGCCGACGCCTATGAGTCTGTCGGTCGAGGCGCGTCTTTGATTTCATTGGTTCTACCGGCGGAGAACAATCAGCCATTATTTCCATCTCTGTCTGTGCTGTTGACCACCGCAAAGCCACAGAAACGACATATGTCGTACGCTATACGGCTGTACTGGAAGGAAGCCGGGATCGAGCTCTGATCACGTGTTGATCACGCGTATGAGTCATTACAGTTTTAAATAGTTGTTTGTACTTTCTTAATATCCCCACTAAAATCGACCGTTCTTCATTCAGATCACCCACGATACATATTAAACCTTATTTACACGTTCTCATCAGTATGAAAAAACAAAAAATCCCTGGTATTTTGTTTTCGTCGGTTGTTTGGTACAACATTTGCTACAATAAATTATTAATGCCTGTTCTAATTCACGACGATGAACGCAAAAGACAGATATTTATTTATTAATTTATTATTGGTTTGTAACTTAATTTCTGTAGGACTTTTATTACTTTTTTTTTGAGAAATCAAGTTCATTCGTAACAGTGCATATGTGGTTAAAATTTGTCGGATAAGTTGTGAAATACCCTGTATAGTCTAACGAAGAATCACCACCTGAATTTTGGTCCTATGTTCTCGATATGGGTGTTAATTTTTATAACATCAACATTAAACTAATTGAAACTGTTGCCAATTATTAGAAGCCTTGGGAGATAAGAGAAATAAAACTGCAGACGATGTCGGTGTAATATTACTATATTTTGATTAGTAATTATGGAGGAAGTTCGGATAGACACGCCCGCACACATTAGGTCACAGAACATTACTTCATCTATCGAATAACATACAACAGTGACTTCGAACTGTCAACTGTCAACCTAACCTATCAGACAACGCAACGTTGCCAAACCAGCAACATGCGATATTGCATATTTTAACAGAAACGATCGATGTTCCCTTAAACGGAAAAGAATATTGTTTGTTCATAGCTCACGCTGAGTACAAGACCAAAATGTAATTGTTGGTATTCTTTTTCAGTGTGGGACTGCGAAAATACTGGGAAAAAGGACTAGGCGTTGGAGATATAGAAGCAGATACGGGAGAGTCATTCATATGCTATAATTGCGGCTATATAGCTCGTACCAAACGTACTTTAATCAAACACATCAAAGTCGGCAATTGTAATTTGACCACGTATACAAGCGCGCATTCGGCAAACGTATACGTTTGTATACAATGTAGTAAGGAATTCGATAAGAAAGGGAATTTAGACAGTCATATAGTTAAAAAACATCCAGAGATCATTCCGACACTTTCTTGCAAAATATACATATGTGAAGTTTGTAATTATAAAACTCTCCGTAAGTGTAACTTGAACAGACATATATTGACACATCAAGATAACTCTAATTACAAACTGAATTGTCCACATTGCAACGCGACTTACGGAGAACGAAAAGGATTGGATGATCATATAGTAAAAAAACACCCAGAGTTTATGAAATCTGTTAAACGAAGTATATACGAATGTCGAAATTGTCCATATAAAACTGTTTTTAAAAGCAGACTAGATGAGCATTCAATGGTACATTCTGACGCAGTCGCGATGCATAAATGTATACACTGTCTTGGGACCTTTAAAACGGGGAGGGCATTGGAATATCACATAGTGATAAAACATCCAGAAGTCACAACGTCAGTGACCAGAAAGATACATCAATGTCCATATTGTTCATTTAGAACTTTCCGTAAAGAGAAGCTCCAGACACATTTGTTAAAACATCCTGATGCCGTTGCTAACATCAAATTGATCGAATGTGAATATTGCAATGATGTGTTCCGGAGGAATACAAGCTTGGGTGATCATATGATACAAAATCACCCTGAGCATATGTCTGGCGTTACGTGTAAGATCTATGAATGTCCAGTTCCAACTTGTAACTACAGAACAACAACAAAATACAATCTGGTCAAGCATATGCCGACTCATCCAAATATCACTAATTACAAAGTCAATACATGCCCAGTGCCAACTTGTAATTATAAAACAACAACGAAACGCTATATGGTCAGTCATATGAAAACACACCAAGATGACAAATCCAGTTCGTGTGTACATTGCAACGCGATTTTTAAACAAAGAAAATCATTAGATGACCATATATTGAAAAAGCACCCAAAGTTTGTTGAATCGGTTAAAAGAGTTATATACGAATGCCCGTATTGCCCAAATAAAACCGTTTACAAATGGAAGCATGATGATCATTTACTGGTACATCCTGAGGCAGCCCATAAGTTGGTCCTCCTCAAATGTATGCATTGTGAATCGACCTTTAAAATTAAGAGGGAACTTGACGACCACATAGTGAGAAAACATCCAGAATTCATGGCGTCAGTGACAAGAAAAATTCATCAATGTCCGTATTGTCCATATAGAACTGTCAAAAGTACGCTAGATAAGCATTTGATGAAGCATCGCGATGATGTTTCTAGCACAAAGTTGAGAACGTGTAGACATTGCAATAAGTCGTTTAAACAAAAAGAATCGCTAGATAATCACATGCTTAAAGAACATCCAGAATTCACGGAATCGGTGACAAGAAATGTACATCAATGTCCATATTGCCCATATAGAAACGTCAGAAAAGTTGCGCTAGATAGGCATATCACAACGCATCCTGAGGCTGATTCTAGTATAACGTTGATAACATGTGAACATTGCAACAAGTCGTTTAAACGAAAACAATCACTACATGATCATATAATTAGAAAACATCCAGATTTTATCTCGTCCGTTACTGCGAAAATACATGAATGTGCACATTGTCCGTACAAAACCATGAGGCGAAATGATCTCAAACTTCACGAAACAACTCATCATGATGCGAGCACATCTCAATGACCTGTTTTACGTACCACATTTCGAATAACGAATTCGATGACGCTGTAGCTCGAGCTTAAGGCCGTCGCGTAAAACGCCTCGATCACAATTTAATTAAAAGTTTAATCAAACCAATTAACGAATTTTATCAATCATGTGACAGCTATCAAGTTCAATTGAATTCGGATTTCTAAAACATTTTAATTGAATTTATTAAACTAGTTTAATTAAATCAATAAACCGCTTACTTGGATTAAGTACACCAGTTTATTTAAATTTAATGGATTATTAAAATCAAGTAAAACTGTTTATTTTTTCTAGATTACGCCTTTTGAGAAGCACTATATACATATAATTCATACGTAATGTCATAAGGGCATCTAATTTTTCCGAAAAAATCTAAAAACTCCGTTGCTAAGTAATATTTCAACAAGAAGCATGAGTGCCGGTGGCAACAGAAATCCTAGTCGAATACGAATATTTTTTTTATCAAGTTCTATTGAATTCCAATTTCTAAAACAGTTTAATTGAATTTATTAGACTAGTTCAATTAAATTCAATAAACCGCTTACTTGGATTGACTACACCAATTTACTTAAAATTAATGAATTATTTAAATCAGTTTACTGCCCCAAGTAAAACTGTTTATTTTTTTCTAGATTCCGCCTTTTGAGAAGCATTATATACATATAATTCATACGTAATGTCATAAGGGCATCTAATTTTTCCGAAAAAATCTAAACACCCCGTCGCTAAGTAATATTTCAACAAGAAGCATGGGTGCTGGTGGCAACAAAAATCCTAGACGAATACGAGGATTTTTTTATCAGGTTCAATTGAATTCCAATTTCTAAAACAGTTTAGTTGAATTTATTGAACTAGTTTAATTAAATTTATTAAACTAGTTTAATTAAATTCAATAAACTGTTTACTTAGATTGACACCAATTTATTTAAATTTAATGAATTATTAAAATGAGTTTACTGGCCCAAATAAGACTTTTTTTTCTAGACTGCGCCTTTTGAGAAGCATTATATAAATACAGGGTGGCCCATAAGTCCTTTGAGCTGGAAAAAAAGGAATAAAACCAAACTAGTTACATTATGAAGAATTATTATATTTTGTTATCATGTTTATTGAATGGGAATTATGTTTTAAAAATCACATCGTCTAAATGCAATCCATTACGATCACGGCACTCATATAAACGATGTCTAAAATTGTCGATTACTGCGCGGCAAGTCAACACTATAATGCTTGCCATGTCTCTTCGGATATTTTCTTTCAGGACATCAACTGATCGCGGAGTGGTGTCGTACACTTTACTCTTGAGGTAGCCCCATAAAAAGAAGTCCAGTGGGGTCAAATCTGGACTACGTGGTGGCCAGGAAATGTCTCCTCTTCGAGAAATTACTCTGCTGGGAAAAAGTTGACAGACGACGGGCATAGAAGTGTTGGAGGTGTGGGCAGTTGCTCCGTCCTGTTGAAACCAGGTCTGCGTATTACAGCCTGGAAAATTCTGCAACGCTGGTGTCAAAAACTCTTCTATCATTGCTACATACCGCTCAGAAGTAACAGTTAATGCGCGACCTCTGTCGTCCACAAAAAAATAAGGGCCTACGATGCCATGCGCTGACTTAGCAGCCCAAACTGTAACTTTAGGGCTGTGTAAGGCCTTCTGATGCTTACGCCTTGGATTTTCGGGGCTCCAATAACGGCAATTTTGTTTATTTACATGCCCGTTTAAATGGAAGTGAGCCTCGTCCGAGAACAACACATTATTGAGCGAAGAAAATCGATTCAACATTTCATTCGCAAAGTTTAGTCTCTGAATAGCATCATTATCTTTTAATTCCTGCACTAACTGAATTTTGTAAGCGTGCAGACGTAAATCTTTCCTTAAAATCCGCTGTAAAGATGTTCTGGGTACGTTTAGTGCACTGGAACGCTTACGAGTAGACTGGGTAGGATTTTGACGAACAGACTGTGCCACAATATTGATGTTTTCTTCAATACGAGTTGTCCTTGGTCGACCCCACCGCTGTTTATCTAACGTCGAACCAGTCTCTTCGAACTTAGCAACCCAGTTCTTAATCGTTTGAGCTGTTGGACACTTTGTAAAATTGTGTAAATTGTGGTATTCTCGATATTTACGCCGCGCAATGGTTGCCGAATCATTATTTTGATAAAACGCGCGCACACAAAAAGCATGATCCGCTCCAGTGAAACACTCCATGGCGACTGAATTCCCAGACACTGAAGATACTGCCCCCACCTCGCCCGCGCCGCTCACGCTCACTCGTTAAATTTTATTCAAATTTGAAATTTCAAAGGACTTATGGACCACCCTGTATAATAATTCATTCGTAAATAATATCATAAGGGCATCTATTTTTTTTACGAATGAATCTAAATATCCTATTGCTAAGTAATATTTCAACAAGCATGAGTGTCTATGGCAACAATAATCCGAGTCGAATACGTGGATTTTTTTATCAAGTTCAATTGAATTCCAAATTCTAAAACAGTTTCATAGAATTTATTAAACTAGTTTAATTAAATTCAGTAAACCGCTTACTTGGATTGACCACACCAATTTACTTAAAATTAATGAATTATTAAAATCAGTTTACTGTCCCAAGTAAAACTGTTTATTTTTTTTTTCAAGATTCCGCCTTTTGAGAAGCATTATATACATATAATTCATACCTGATATCATGAGGGCATCTAATTTTTCCGAAGAAATCTAAAAACCTTGTTACTAAGTAATATTTCAACAAGAAGCATGAGTGCCAGTGGCAACAAAATTCCGAGTCGAATACGAGAATCTTTTTTATCAAGTTCAATTGAATTCCGATTTCAAAAACAGTTCAATTGAATTTATGTAACTAGTTTAATTAAATTCAATAAACCGCTTACTTGGATTGACTTCACCAATTTATTTAAAATTGATGAATTATTAAAATGAGTTTACTGCCCCCAAGTAAAAATTTTTCTAGACTCAGCCTTTTGAGAAGCATTATATATATATATATATATATATATATATATATATATATATATATAATTTATTCATAAGTAATATCAGAAGGGTATCTAATTTTTACGAAAAAAAATCTAAAAATCCCGTTGCTAAGTAATATTTTAGCAACAAGCATGAGTGCCGGTATTATTATACTTACTACAAGTCTATTTCATGAGTAACAGATTATTTATTCTGCATACAGATAGCCTACAAAACATATTACCTATTATACATGCATGCGTAATAGATATGTAGGTATTGATTTGAAAACTGAAAAACCGGTAATTTATTTAATCACAAAATACTACAAACTTTTAGTTTAGTTACTTGTTTGTTTCCAAAAGCTCGTATTTCTTTGCCTTGCAGAATTCTCTAAACTGCTTCCATATTGACTTACTGGTTTTAACGGTATTCGATACACTTTTCTCAATCGCCAATCACTTCCAAAGCGACTCATTTTCACTACATAAGCTCTACACTGCTTAAAAAAAATATTCCAAAATGTATTGGCAATAAAATCAGAAAAATTGTTTAGCGTCGTTTTCTGGTGTCTTAGGAGACGATAATTACTTGTTATCAAAAGTATTGTAATTTTTGGCGACAACAGCTGTCAAGTTTTGCCGCTGACAGCTGCTGTCATACATTTTCCCATCTAGAAACCATTTGTAATTCGCGCGTTTATGATTGGTGGAAGACGAGGGAAATAGTCTTTAATAAATACATATTATTATTACCAGTAATATTAGAAGTATATTGATTAAGTTTCTTTAATTAGTGTAGGTAAAACAATTTACCTAGGTTAAAAATTATTTTATTTAGATTTAAAAGTATATTAGGATGTTAAAAGGACAATTTGCATTTTACTGTGCTGGAGTATAACTAGGATATTAAAAAATAATAAAAGACTTCTGAATTTTGTTATCCTAACATATGTTTACTCTTGTGACCTTATTATATATGCACTCATGTCTTACCATTTATTTGTTTGATTGTTAAGATACAGTTTGTAATGAATGGACATTCAATAAAAATAATTATTTTGAAAATGTTTTCTTGTTAAAATCTTATTACCCGTGTCCACCTGTATACAAAATTCCACTCAAGTAAAATCATTTGCATCGGGTGTTTTATTTAACTTGTCAGTGAACGCACAATATTGAAGAAAAGCCAGTTTCCATTAATATCCTCTAGGGTTTTGTATCTCCAAAACGAACCATCGTTTCGAAAACCTTCAGAGGGCAAGATTGATTTAGAATGACGAGTATGAGTGATCACCCGCGGCACCCATCACGCAGCCAGCTTTCTCATGCACAATATATTCCATGCAGGGTAAGAGATCGTGGATTCTTGTCGCGTTCTCCTCCGTGGTAGCCGCTTCCGATGCACCTGGGCGTGGCTCATCAAAAACCACGTGCGACCACGTTCACACTGTTGAACCAATGTCTGACCGCCTCCATCGAAGTCATCATACACCAAGCGCTCTTTGATTTCGCTGCGCGATTTCCCTTCCAATATATGATAGTTTAAGGCCCAATTTCCCGTTATTCTCCACCTATATGGTAGCAGACCGTCAGATACAGCGAATGAGCTTCAAGTTCCAATCAACAAATTTTAGCAACCAATAGCTATAAAATGTTGAAAACAAAATACTGTCAAAGTATGAGATGACATCTTGTCATTGAATCATCACCAGCTTATTGAATATTATGAAATTACATATAATTCAGTCGAGATTTTAAGAAACGTTTGATTTTTGAATTAAATTCATGTTTTACTATTGTTGATTTTTTTATTAATTTTTATATTATTTTCTTCAATTGATATGTGTACTGGGTGTTTTTTCCTATAAACCTCTTGCAGATAGCCATTAACCACCTACTTGATGACAGGCTCTACCAAAAGATATTGCTCGTTTCCAAACATTCATTCATTTACTTGCCGTTCATCAGAACCATTATGGCACCTTAGATTGATATTCCCACAAAACGATTCAGGT